GCATCACAAACACAGATTTTTCAAAGAAACTGGGAATGTGGGGAAAGGTTCAGAAAATGCTTTAGCTAGGCCAAAAGCTTCCAGTAACTCTGAAGATCAAGGTTTTCATACACCACCAGTCACTGTGCCTTCACGGCACGTCTTTTGAAGGGCTGAGCCAATTACAACGTAAAAACATAAGGATGTGGGCACAACAATGCTTACATGGTATTTATCAAAATGTTGACTGAGCCAAGTAAATTGATGAAGGGAAAAGGAAAATAATATTGATAGTCTTAATAAAAAAAGCATAACTTGCCCATATTAGAGCTGTAGGTATGAACAAGAACAGTCAAGTGAGGACCACAATTTTCACCAGATAATAATTTTTAGGACATAAGTAATTTAAGCTCTCCCAACCAGGACTCCCACAAATCACTGTCTTCAAGATTTCTAGTTTTACCTAAACCCAAACCTTGGGATGATAAATTTAATTACAAAAGTACAGTGGATTCATACAATGTACCCATGACTCTAATCTGATTTTAGCTTCCATGTGTACTATCCATCAATATATTTAAGTGATCCGAGTATGACATACGGAATTGTTTTGAGACCCTCACCAGATGTCAAATGAAAGTCTTAATCCAACTCAAGGCTAAACTAGAGACTCTCAAGGGCTGCACCCTGGGCTGAACATAAGCATGCTAATCACACAGAACTACAGACTTTTCTGTGGTCTTGGTTCAAATTTGACCTTTGTCCGTAGGGACAAAACTTAGCACCATTTCTCAGTGTGAATAAAACATATCAAGCCCTAGCTTCAACTTCAGTCTACTCAAGAACTGCGCAGACCTTGAAGAAACCCAGTGTGACAATACACATAGTCAAGACCTGGGTTGGCAGTTTTTGTGGAGAAGCTGAGAAATCACTGAAGAGACCCTTTCTGCGCATGGTCTGCGCAAGTCTTCCTGACAAAACAATGCCGAAACACCCGCCTCAGTGCTGAGCGTATGCGCACATCTGAAAGCGGGAGGTAGTCTCTGGAAGGGTTTTGTCAGTCTAGCTCTACCAGTGAACACTACCGCTACTAAGTTTTCTTTTCTAAAGTAGGAACTACAACATGCAGAAATAAGTCTTGGAAGGTACAGCTCAAAAATGCTATTACTGCCTCAATGGCACTTGGAAATTTGAAAACCACAGTTGAGAAAGGAGCTCTTAAGTGTCTGTCTTGAGAAATACAGCAGGATAAATCTGAGCTGAAGGAAGGTTAATAATGAGTTCAGGAGCATCAGAAATTAATTTTCTTCTGTTAAAGCCACGCACAGTTTGAAATGGTGAGACCAAGCATCACTCTCTTCATGAAACCAGGGAAGGAATAATCGAGAAAAGAATCAGCAGTGTGTAATCATCCCAGCTTTTACAAAGCAAGTAGTTCTGCGGGCCTGCCAGACGCAGGGGCAAGAGACAGGCAAAGCACATGCCGTGTGTGTCCCTTTCCCAGAGAACAAGGCCATGGAAAGATCCTTCTACCTTTTGCACAATGTGGGTTTAATGAAAGGCAGCTGCTATTTTAAGATCTCATATGGGATTTTATAACAAAGAGGAGTTGCAGACACCATCCCCATTACCACCAGGCTTCCATCCCCTCTTTCATCTCTCTCACTAAGCCAGCTCTCAGAAACTTTTACAGACAGTTAGAGCCATCAAACAAAGGTTACCCACTCAAAGGCTTGGTCCAACCATGTGCACTTGTTATGGCTTAAATTAAATTGATACTAAAATGGTCCTTTTTTTAGTAAAGTGCTATAATCATTGCGGCTACAATCCCTCACCACGGTATAAGTAGTAATAAGCTGATACATGTCACCACTGCTGATAGCTGTCAGAATGTCTTTTTCCAGAACTGGAAAGCAAAATAAAACTCCCAATTATTCTCAAAATGGAAGGATAACCTCTTTTCCAGGGTAGAAACATGAAAGATTCATTTTTTTCTCTGTTCTGTCAAGCCATATTGTACATCTATTTAATGCATTTTGTGCATTGCATTAGATTTCAGAACTCACTAAGAGGGTTACAAGCTATGGGAAAATTTAAGGTAAAAAATTTAAGGCTCCTGTGAAGCTTAATACCAGAGGGTCAGAATTTCACTCTTGGTCTTTCTCTTCAGTTGTCATGAAGATTTTCATCTAGTAATTGTGCCTGTGGTTTAACTGGGACTCATGCTGAAAACACGACTTCTGCTCTCACACTAAAAAGTTGCACAAGTTAAGCTACTCTCAGCACCTCACATCAACCGCCTGACGTCCTCACGGCAAATTATCTTTTGACCCTCACAAATATGATCTGGTAAAAGCTACATGAGGAAACGATACACTTTTTGGCTCTCTAGTAAGATAATGGTTTGGGTATTCTTTTGTAAAAAACCTTATTTAAAATCCTTCAGTGCAGAACTGTGTTTCTATCAGCCGGTAGTGACAAGGCATGAAGCTGAACCATAGTTTGGATCTTTTCGGTCCTAAACCAGACTGCACCATTCAGACACGGGGCTCCTGGCTTGCATCCTGACTGGGGCAAAAGCTACCGCTTCCAAAGAAAGGGTCTTCCTCTGAGCTGCACAGCTGGGTGGGCTGGGAGGAACCTGTGAAGGCTTCTCCACAAGGCCTGTGAAATGTGGGTTCAGGCTTGCTTAGGCTAAAAGAATTTTGGTAAGTGACATGGGTTTTGAAAGTTTTTAGTCAATCCAAAGCGTGTTTAAAATACTCTTTGACCCAAAAATTTTATGTAGCTCTGCTACAGTGCAATTGCAGCGTATACCTTACATTAATACGCTTAGATTAAGCCTCCATAGAGTCGATATACCCAGATGAATATAACACATCAGCGATAGCCTTCCAAACATCACATCCACACACAAACACTGTATCTGCATGTTTAAATAAAGTAATTTGGTATGTAACTGGCAATGGTTAACGGGAGCCATTTTTATGTGCTTGTAGCAGCTTAACGTGAGCAGATGGATGCAGTCATACATTGGGGTAGACCAAGAAAGCAGAGTGTGCAAAAATTTGAAGCCATAGTATAAAGCAGAATTAGTGCCAATATTGCTAACCTAGGGCACATAAATCCCAGAAGACTGGCTTGAAGTGATACAGTTCATAAGACTGCATTTTTCAGACTAAAATAAAGAAATATGCAGTTTCTTTTGCATTAGTGATCTGATTTTCTTCTTCAGTCTGCAAGGATATTTTGTCTTTCATAACCACAAATAGAGTTATTCTTTCATTTCAAAAACATGGCTTCAAGAGCAGGTACTCATTTTTTGAAAATACCCTTTTGAACCCAAAGTTCTTGGGAATTGAGAAAGAAATCAAAATATTACCTTAATCTACATGCCCAGCTCTCAAATTTGTCACTGTGGGCCACTGCCAGAGACGGGACACTGAGTTCAGTGGCCTTGAGCTTGCACCCTTGTGACTTGTCTTGTAGATATATAGACACACACACACAGTGTCCTTATTCTGCTCCACATCCCAACAAGCCTCCCATTTGTAAAGGACAAACACCACATTTGAAGTCGCTCCCCTCACAAGGTGTCCTGTCATTGCTGCCAGTGCAGGTACACTTGGAGCAAGGAAGCAGAACCTTTCACATGTGCAAGCCATGCGGTTCTCCTGGAGATGCCAACAAGGATGTCCAGAAAATCGCTGCTGCTGCATATTTTTTCAGAATTTCATAGCAGAACCCTGAACTGGGCATAGTCTCACAACTACTTTACTTCTTTGCTCAGCAAAGGGAAAAACCCAGCTCCTTTTTCCAAAAGAGTGAGTGTCTTTCCCAAGTAATCTTTCACTGCAGATATCACTGTCAGTAAGAAATGAAAATTTACAGCGAGATGCAGGAAAATGTTATACAAGATATAAACAAAATGAACATTTCTGTGGTTTTCTGTTTTAAATGAGTAGTTAAGCTAGTGGAAAATGAAGAGGTGTATGTCTGACACTGAAGAAAACCCATCATGCAGCTCACTTCATCCTACTCTGAAAGAATTCTTCCCCTAGCAGCTTTCTTGTCACAGTGCTTGTGGCGATAAAGGACCTGTTTCCAAACAAACTACTGAGGGTAGAAAGTGCAAGAGCTGTTCAGCACTAACTTTCTTTGCCTGGTTGCTCTTCTATAAAAACAGCTACGGGTAATTTTGGTTAGTCCCCTTCCAAAGCAGAAGTTCATGCAGAATGGCTATTCTGAGTGATTTGTGATGTAGATGTGATGCCAAAAAAATTCACCCAGTAGAGAAGTTTCCTGCTTCTAACAAAGACCGAACACTGGTGGGCCAGATGCAAGAAAATACTGGTTGTTAGCAGTTGCATCCTTCAGTGACAATTTTAGTCCAGCAAATGTGACTCAGAGCAGTTTGTATTAAAAAATGTTTTTTTTTTTTCCAATTCAGTTTCTTTTCCAGAAGGCAGGCTGCTCCCCTCCTGCAGCAAGCCCAGCCTCACGCAAGGTGCCAGCCTTCTCCAGACAAGCCCTTAACACAAGCGGGAAGGGATTGCTTTTGGGAAGCCTTTTTGCATTTCTGCATTGACCTTAGGGGAACTAGTGACATAACTCCTAGAGGGGCAAAAGTAGGGGAAATGAATGAATGTTTTGGAGTAAAAAAGTGTACAGGGAAAATACACTGGACAGCCTGAATTGTAAGAAGCCTATCCCACAGGAGTGCTACGTGCAGAGGGGACAAATATTTTGCAATCGCAGATATCTGTCAGTGAAATTATTATAAGCATGAAGTTGACCACTGTCTGTTAAGTCATCCCACTACAACATATTAAAGCCTCCAGAGAACGTGAAAGCAGCCCCGATGCCCCAGCCCAGCTGATGCAAGCAGACCTTCCTCCAAACTCCATCCCTGTCAATGAGGTACCACGGTTATCTGCAAATACAGGTGAGGCTGCAGACCATCGCCATTGCTTTGGGGCTTCATATTTCCCTGAACTTTTAGGATACAGAAAGGAACTTACCTGTTCAAATCACGGTGTATGATTGGTTGTGTGAGATTGTGGAGGTACTCCATGCCTTTGGCAACATCTACAGCAATGATTAATTTCGACTGCAGATCAAGTGTTCTGTATTTAAAAAAATAAATAAATTACTCAGTGTTACTGAAGAGGCAAAAATTATCTGTAAGTTACTCTTACGTGTAAATCAAAGAATCTCTAAAATGTTTTTTAACACAAAATAGTGTTATATAATCTATGTAATGAAAACGTATATAATGTAAAACAATGAATAAATCACAATTTTCTGACTACTCATTAATTTCCCTTGTACACCAAATAATCTGAATAAGCTTTATACTGTGTTCCTTTCTCTAACACTTTACTGAAATGAATAACATTTACATCAGCATAGATTTCCTAGTCTTCTGAATTCTGTGTCACAAGCCCAAGCAGAAAGCGAGTGGAATACCTCTTCTGTTCGTGAAGCAGAGAGAAGAGCGATCCTCCAGAAATGTACTGAGTGACTATAGCGAACTGACTGGGGTCATCTAAGCAAGCTCCCACAAACTGGATGACACATGGATGATTCAGCCGGCAAAGAATGGAAACTTCACGGCAGAACATGTCCACATCTGATTTGGAACAGTAGGTATTGGCTCGATAGCTTAGAATTTACATGAGAGAAAACAGTAAGGTAAAAGTATAACAGAAGGGTTTTTTTTAAATTCCTCAAGTTAGGTCATTATTCAAACCAGATGGAAAAGTCCGATAAACTTACCGTTTGATTGCGACAATTTTATTTCTGCATCGTCCCTTATATACTTTTCCAAAAGACCCTAAAATAGTTTAATAGAAATAAGCACAAAGACACTCATTATGAACATCAGACTTTTTAAATGGATGCATTCTTATTTCTTGTACCTGAGCCGATAATCTCATGGAACTCTATTTCGGAGAGCTGAAGGTGGAAATGTGATGGCAAACCAGCACGGAGGAGGAGAACATCTGCCTTTTCTGCAAAAGAGAACACTTATCTGATGTGTAAAATGCAGAGTCGGGGGGAAGGACAGAAAATAAGCATTTAACTTCACAAAACCATTGCACAGTGAAAGCTGATTTTCCTCCTGCATAACAGGATTTATAATTTCCTCCAATAACAGAAAAATACTTGCAACGCTATGGTTGCCTTGGGCTTTCTTGGCTCTAAAATCATATTGTCCCACAAGCATATTCTGCCTGTATCACCTGACGGTTGCAAAATCCTTTATTTGGAGAAAAAGTTCCCTTTTTCTGTGTAGCTAGTGCTCATTACTAATGCTGGGGATGTTATCCCAGATCTGACCTGCTCTTTAGTGGTATGTGGAATCTAAACTTTGCAACTTAATTTAGTTACATCTCTACCTTGTTGATCTATTTGGTTTATTACTATACGGTTTATCAGAATATTTCTAAATGGAACACTTCAATTCTGCTATGTAAAGGAGGTAAGGATTTGATTATATCCAGAGTGAATATTTGAAGTGGAAAACTGAAAGCACCACAAAAAATGAAATATGATAAAGTTCAAATGTTCACCTGAATGTTTTATCTATATGTGTTTGAGATTAACACAAATTATTTTTGGACAGAATTTTTCTTGTAAAGATAATCGAGGCGTTTTACAGCGGAATTCAATATGATATTTTCTTGCATTCATGTGTGTACTCCATTAGTACTAATTCACACTCACATCCTTTTCTCCAAAGAAATGAAAATAAATATATTTTTAAAGCAAATAAAATTAAGATAAACACAGGAATTCTCATGGTGCTGAGACACAAAGCTAAATATATTTGCTTCCTGAAAGTATTCTAGGGAAACCTAGCTGCTGCTTATGTGCATCATTACACCTCCAAACAATGAAAATTCCAAGAATAAAGAATCTTGCGTAGTATGTTTAGGCTGACAAACACCTTGGGTAGAAAGACCATAAAAGTTCAAGGTTTCCCTTGCCATTGAAAATACCTTTAGTCATGCTTTTAATCTTTCCCAGCGGGGATGGAACTGACACATAGGAGCCATCTGAAACAGAAGAACAGAATAAATTTGATGGGATTCAGAGACAGTGTAAGCATCTGTATTGATAAGTTAGCAAGGCAGTTGTAGGGGTGAAAATACATATAAGCACACAAACACATATGATGGTGACGTTACGTTGCTGGGTTCTTGAAAGTGGTTTGTATCCAGCTTCGCCAAGCGCTGCAGAATGATACAGACTTTCACTGGTGTAAAGAAGGCCAACACAGCCTTTCACATCTGCTCGATTTCGTAAAGGAACTCAGAGCAGATTCACAAATTCTGACAATGGGCTGCAAGCATATTGCCCTGATTAGTTCACTGACTAGATTTTCCAAGAGACCCCAGCTTTCTCCACCTACCAAAAATTTCACCTCTTGTTTTCCTGCTTCAGTGGGAGCTGAGCTCTTTTAACAATCAGCGTTTTTAAAAAAATCTGTCTGGGTGTGTTAATTACTTGCCAAAATGAATTTCCAATACATGCAGAACTTAGTCCCCTGAAGATGTACTCACACTTGAGATCTACTAAACCTGAACCTGGTACGGGTCGAGCTCTGCAACAAGCACACTGATCCAGTTGCTGACTGTAGGGTTCCTCCTGCTTCCGTGCAGGAGTCAAGGACCGAGATGAGCTGCAGCGTGCACCACCGTCACCCTCTCTGCAGGCAGCGTGCTCAACACACCACAGCAGGTTCTGGTCATCCCACTGCTGGTGTCAGCATCCACCTTGGCACTCGTCATTGACTTCCCAATACAAATGAGTATTTTTGTAGCAAAAAGGGTAATTAGTTCTTCCCAAGAGGGAATCAGATATCCAGAGATATTTAAAAATATGAAGGGGACTGAGTATAGAAACATACTGAGGGTCAGCAATCAAAGAAACATCAGAGCTAAGAACCACAAAGAGAATGGCTAAACTAAGGAGGAATAAGAGTATAAGAAGGTATGAGTAATGGTTACTATGAACTGATCTTCTCACAGGTTTGAGCTTTTCTTTCTTGTGAGTAATACACACAACTCTATTTTAAGATAAAGACTTTTGACATAAATAGAGGGAACCTGGAAAATGGGGATTCACATGACACTAATTTTCTTTGTGCCAGACCGAATTGATCCAAAGCTCCCCGACATCCACAGGACATTCCCAGGGACTCCAGCAGTCTTTGGATCAGACCCTTTAGTTTTAGAAAACGAAGTGATTTCTCAGACCATACCTCCTCCAGGTTGTGAGTATTCATTGCAGGGCGATTCATCCTGAGGTCTCTTATAATGCTTCAGAAGGGTCACAATGGCATCATGTCCTAAGAAAGGAAATATAAGGATTTACAGGTAAACACAGAATTTTTTTTTTTTAATTTATACAATGTCAGGGAATTTTTAAAAATGTATAATGTGCCCAGAAACATGTAAACAAAGATAAAGCCAAGCTAATCTGACACATACTGTGATTCTTAACTATAGAAATGTAGGGTGCCAATAAAAACAATCGTGTTATTTTTGCACAAGTACAAGCTGGGTGGAGAATGGATAGAAAGCAGACCTGAGAAGGGCTTGGGAGTTCTGGCAGATGAAAAGCTGGACA